AAATGTTCTCCGAGCTCATGCTGTCCTCCCACACTGACAGAGCACAGACGAATGCGTGGAGGCAAATAATGTCAGAGTGCAGGAAAGCACAAAATGACCGGGAGGAGAGGTGGCGGGCTGAAGAGAGTAAGTGGCGGGCTGAAGAGAGTAAGTGGCGGGCTGAAGACAGGGCTGAAGCTCAAAGGTGGCGGCAGCGTGATGAGAGGAGGCAGGATTCAATGCTGAGGCTGCTGCAGGACCAAACCAGTATGCTCCAGTGTATGGTTGAGCTGCAGCAAAGGCAGCTGGAGCACAGACTGCCACTGCAGCCCCTCTGTAACCAACCGCCCTCCTCCCCAAGTTCCATAGCCTCCACACCCAGACGCCCAAGAACGCGGTGGGGGGGCCTCCGGCCAACCAGCCACTCCACCACAGAGGATTGCCCAAAAAAAAGAAGGCTGTCATTCAATAAATTTTAAAGTTGTAAACTTTTAAAGTGCTGTGCTTAAAGTGCTGTGTGGCATTTTCCTTCCCTCCTCCACCACCCCTCCTGGGATACCGTGGTAGTCATCCCCCTATTTGTGTGATGAATGAATAACGAATGCATGACTGTGAAGCAGCAATGACTTTATTGGCTCTGCAAGCAATGATTAAAGGGAGGAGGGGAGGGTGGTTAGCTTGCAGGGAAGTAGAGTGAACCAAGGGGTGGGGGGGTTCATCAAGGAGAAACAAACAGAACTTTCACACCGTAGCCTGGCCAGTCATGAAACTGTTTTTCAAAGCTTCTCTGATGCGTACCGCGCCCTCCTGTGCTCTTCTAACCGCCCTGGTGTCTGGCTGCGCGTAACCAGCAGCCAGGCGATTTGCCTCAACCTCCCACCCCGCCATAAACGTCTCCCCCTTACTCTCACAGATATTGTGGAGCACACAGCAAGCAGTAATAACAGTGGGAATATTGGTTTCGCTGAGGTCTAAGCGAGTCAGTAAACTGCGCCAGCGCGCCTTTAAACGTCCAAATGCACATTCTACCACCATTCTGCACTTGCTCAGCCTGTAGTTGAACAGCTCCTGACCACTGTCCAGGCTGCCTGTGTATGGCTTCATGAGCCATGGCATTAAGGGGTAGGCTGGGTCCCCAAGGATACATATAGGCATTTCAACATCCCCAACAGTTATTTTCTGGTCTGGGAATAAAGTCCCTTCCTGCAGCTTTTGAAACAGACCAGAGTTCCTGAAGATGCGAGCATCATGCACCTTTCCCGGCCATCCCACGTTGATGTTGGTGAAACGTCCCTTGTGATCCACCAGAGCTTGCAGCACTATCGAAAAGTACCCCTTGCGGTTTATGTACTCGGCGGCTTGGTGCTCCGGTGCCAAGATAGGGATATGGGTTCCATCTATAGCCCCACCACAGTTAGGGAATCCCATTGCAGCAAAGCCATCCACTATGACCTGCACATTTCCCAGGGTCACTACCCTTGATATCAGCAGATCTTTGATTGCGTGGGCTACTTGCATCACAGCAGCCCCCACAGTAGATTTGCCCACTCCAAATTGATTCCCAACTGACCGGTAGCTGTCTGGCGTTGCAAGCTTCCACAGGGCTATCGCCACTCGCTTCTCAACTGTGAGGGCTGCTCTCATCTTGGTATTCATGCGCTTCAGGGCAGGGGAAAGCAAGTCACAAAGTTCCATGAAAGTGCCCTTACGCATGCGAAAGTTTCGTAGCCACTGGGAATCGTCCCAGACCTGCAACACTATGCGGTCCCACCAGTCTGTGCTTGTTTCCCGAGCCCAGAATCGGCGTTCCACAGCATGAACCTGCCCCATTAGCACCATGATGCATGCATTGTCAGGGCCCATGCTTTCAGAGAAATCTGTGTCCATGTCCTGATCACTCACGGGACCGCGCTGACGTCGCCTCCTCGCCCGGTATCGCGTTGCCATGTTCTGGTGCTGCATATACTGCTGAATAATGCGTGTGGTGGTTAATGTGCTCCTAATTGCCAAAGTGAGCTGAGTGGGCTCCATGCTTGCCGTGGTATGGCGTCCGCACAGAAAAAAGGCGCGGAACGATTGTCTGCCGTTGCTCTGACGGAGGGAGGGGCGACTGACGACACGGCTTACAGGGTTGGCTTCAGGGAGCTAAAATCAACAAAGGGGGTGCCTGTACATCAAGGAGTATTTCAGGCAGGACTGCACGGAGGGTTCCAATAAGAAATGGTGCACCTAAGTTATTGTTGTTATTGGAACAAGGAGGTTAGCCTGGCCTCTGATTGATACATGGCTAGATTTACCTCGCTGCACCTTCTCTGTGAGTGACTGCAGTGTGACCTAGAGGAATGAGTCCCCTAGACAGGGGAGGAGGCAAATGAGTACAAAACAAATCTGGTCTATTTCTTGTTTTGACCCACTCCATCTATCTTTTACATCTTTGGCTGGCAGCAGACGGTGCAGAAGGACTGCATGCCATCCACATCTCATGGCTGCTCGGCAGAAGATGGTACAGTACGACTGCTAGCCATCCCCATCTCTTGCCTGCCTGGCAGAAGATGGTGCAATACGACTGCTAGCAATCCTCATCTCTTGCCTGCCTGGCAGAAGATGGTACAGTACGACTGCTAGCAGTCCGTATCACCTGCCTGCTCACCATAAGACGGTTCAATAGGACTGACTGCAGGACTAAAGAGAATGACCTGGTCAAGTCACTCCAAATTTAGTCCCTGCGCCCATGTCTGCCCAGGCGCTCCCAGCCGACGCGGCCAGGAGCACCTCGGACACGATGAGGACGACTACCAATCGTATTGCACCGTCTGCTGCCAGAAGGCAAGGGGTTGCTGCTACTGTGCAGCAAAGCCGTACCGCGTCTGCCAGCACCCAGGAGACATAGGGTGACGGTTACCTGAGCGGGCTCCATGCTTGCTGTGGTATGGCGTCTGCACAGGTAACTCAGGAAAAAAGGCGCGAAATGATTGTCTGCCCTTGCTTTCACGGAGGGAGGGAGGGAACGGGGGCCTGACGACACGTACCCAGAACCACCCGCGACAATGTTTTAGCCCCATCAGGCATTGGGATCTCAACCCAGAATTCCAATGGGCAGCGGAGACTGCGGGAACTGTGGGATAGCTACCCACGGTACAACACTCCGACGCTAGCCTCGGTACTGTGGAAGCACTCCGCCGAGTTAATGCACTTAATGCACTTAGAGCATTTTCTGTGGGGACACACACACTCGAATATATAAAACCGATTTCTAAAAAACCGACTTCTATAAATTCGACCTTATTCCGTAGTGTAGACATACCCTTAGTGAAAGAGAGAGACACGCTTTCGAGCTTGCACAGAGCTCTTCTTCAGGTCTGTGTAAGCTCAAAAGTGTGTCTCTCTCACCAACAGCGGTTGGTCCCATAAAAGATGTTACCTCACCCACCTTATCTCTCTAATATCCTGGGACTGATAAGGCTACAACAACATTGCCTTCAACAACCTCATATAATTTAGTCAAACAAGAGAAGCCACTTCTGAACCCCGCACGTCTAGATCCTGAATAAGATAGTGCTGATAGCTAGAGGCCTTCACGCCAACTTGTTAATGAGCTATTAATTGGATCGTCTGACTCCTGGCTAGCAATTTGCTGTCCGGCCAGTAGGTGGTACAACACTCCTGATCAAAACCGACTGCAGCCTGGTGAAAGGGCCTTCACTGGGAAGGGCTCTCCCGCTGAGGCTGAGGCCTGTCAGAGAAGATGAGGGAAGGGAGTGGCCGCTCCATGGGAGCAAAGAGAAGCTTTGCCAAGCCAAGGGTGATGCCAAGAGAGAACTCAGCTACGAGGAACATAAGTGCTGTTCCGAGCACCGCAGGAGGAAAATGTCTCACTTTCTCTTGTCAGCAAGGAACATCAACCTGAAACCTGCTGCTGTCTGTGTTAGAAGATATGGGCAAGTGCAGTAGGGCAAGCAACTGAGGACCCTGTTTTCTGCTGGCAGAACTCCTCAGCCCTCCATGGAGCCCTGCTGGCAAATATTTTGACCCTCTCTCTTGCCATCCTGCGTTACCTGCTCATCTCACTGTGCCTGTTTCCAAAACTGGAATAATACCCTCTGCCATGGGGTGCTTTGATATGCAGAAAGGGAGTTTGGGGTGAAAACCTGTCCATATTGTAGTTAAAGGGAGCTGTGCCATTGGCTTCAGCAAGGCCAGGATTTTATCCTGTCAGTGCAAGGCAGCATTTGCTGTTTATTTCTGCAGCCCAGGTAGCATTAGGTGCAGTTTCCTTTGCTGTTTGAGGGATACAGCCATATCCCTATATGCTTACAGCTTCTATCCAACCTTTGAGTATTAGTTGAGTGCTGGCTTCCTGCCTGAGGCTGCGTGGATAACACCTGGCTTGTATATAGCACTCTTCATTCATAGATCTCAAAGTGCTTTAACATGGAGGTCAGTTTGGTAACCCAGTGTTTACAACTGGGGAAACTGAGGAACAGAGAGGGGAAGTGACTTGCCCAAGGTCAACCAGCAGGCCAGAGCCAGGAATAAAACCCAAGTCTCATGCATTGCAGACCAGTGCCTTTGCCCCCTAGGTGTGGATGAAGGCACTTGTAGCCTCACTCTGATAAGCTACAGAAAATACCAGTAAATATGACTTAATGTGTGACATTCCCCATGGTACAATCTGGACAGATGGACAGCTATGTCCCCTCAAATCTCCAACCTGGGGGGCCTTTTACACTGCTTCGCTGTAAGAGCAATCACTCTTGGTGCTGCTTGCACACAGCCTCTCACATGTAAAATCTCTCCCAGCTGAATTACATGATTGCTCTGGCCTCATGAATTACATACAGGCAGACACCAGCAACTTCCCAGTCCCAGACCTTCTCCAAGAATGTATATCTTGTACTGCCCAGCACCCTCCTGGACAATACTAGGTCATAGAAAGTCCATCATCTCATTGATGGAAAATGATATGCATAAATCCTGTTATCTCAAGTGGCGTTCCCAACACTTCAATCCAAACACGCTGGTTTAGCTAAAACAATAAAACAAGTTTATTAACTACAGAAAGATAGATTTTAAGTGATTATAAGTATAGGGCCAGAGATGTCAGAACTGGTTACAAAGAAAAGAAAAGATAAAATGTAGACTATCTACTGGACTCGTCCTGCAGGTCAGTGTTTCTTCAGGTGTTGTTGCTGCCATGAGCAGAGAGGAGTGGAGCAGAGAGGTGTGGAGGAGAGTGGTAATTTGTCTTGTGTGTGTTATTTTTTCTTATACCATTATCCTCTCTTTGAAGATTATCTCCAGCTGGGGGTCAGGCGACAGCCAGTCTGTTTACATGGGAACCTCCAGTTGTTCTACTGGCAATCTGTAAAATTCTTGCTCACACCCTTCTTGAATGGCCACTAACCTAGCTGATGGTCCAGTTGATTTTGTTGACACCTGGCTAATGTGTTGGTTTGTCATTTGTTCCTGAGGAACTGGTTTGTGCCTGCTTTTCTAAACTTGGAGCATGTTATACAGTAGAATCTTATAACTTTACATACAATGATGATACATATATTTTATCAGGAATAATAATGTTCAGCAGATGGAGTTTTCAGAGGATACCTCAGAAGGCATACTTTGTACAAAATTTATCATGGATTTGTAAAAAGGATGAATATAGGCATATAGTCTGTCTCACTGTGATATGTACATTATAGGTTCAATATTGGTATGAGGCTTTATCCTCTATATGGAGCAGTAATGTTTAATCGCCACTAGGGAAGGGCGAGAATATGTCGTGCCAGGACTGCCCTGAAGAGGGCCTCCTTCATCAGAGCCAGAAGTATTCATGATTGACTCTAGGAGTTGGGCACCTACCCAAGACTGACAAGGACACTGAGTTTATGGCGTCTGCCAGTGGAGGGTGCTGCTCTTTAGATGAGCTGCTGAGATAGGATGTTAATTTAGCACCTCTGGTAGGAGGTAAAGATTCTGTGACTTTTTTAAAGAATAAGGGATAACTCATCGTTTCTGCCCTATACAACTAGGGTCTCTTTTCCAAGGCACTGTGGGGAGTGGAGATGGGGAGGAGCATGTTCTCATGGCAAAAGCACAGGCCTCGGATTGTGTCATCTTGTGTGTTTAGAGCATACAGTACCATGGGGCCCCACGTGGACTGGGGCCTCTGGGTGCAATGGCAATGAAAGTATTTACTAATAATCCTTGTTCGGTTCCCAGGTCTGCCTCTGACTAGCTGTATAAGAGCGAGCCAGTGGTGTTGCCTCTCTCTGTCCTGTTTCACCCATCTGTGAAATGCAGATAACGCCTGTTCTGCCGACATTTATTAATTTATGGCACACTTCATGTCTTGGATGGAAGGTGCTCAGATACTGTGGGGAAGAGCCATGACATAAATTCATGTATTTCCCTGTTGTCCATGTGACATTTTTTCCACAGCAACACCAGTGTCTTTGTGAACTCCGGGTTTCACCCTCTTGCTGCCAAGCATCCCTGTGTGGGATTAAGCGGATCCTACGCCAGTTTCCAGTTCATCTTTCCATCTGTGCTGCTACTGGCCCTTTGTTGCAGCTTCAGGACCAAATCCCACAGCACATGCCGGTTTGCTGAGCTCGCGCGGTGGGCTTGGCAGCGTTATGCAACGAAACCGGAGCCCTTAGGAATGGTTCATCCTTGTGCACCGAGCCCTTGCTGTCAGCTACAGGTCTGCCTTTGAAGAGCTCTGTGCAGTGGAGGAACAAAGCAAACGGTTCCTCTGCACAGACAGCAAATAAAGCAAAATCACACTGAGCTTCTGTTCCCTTTTCTACAGAAAACAATTTAAAAATAAAGGGGCAAGGGAATAGAAAGACTTTGTACATTTTCATATTTGAAACAGCCTTTCATGTGTCCCAGGGTGAAAGGCAATTTACATTTCAAGAGGTCAGAGTGTAACTACTTCTTTCTTTTTTTCCCCATTTTAAATGTTACTAAATTCTATATATATTAATTTCATTCTGTGGCGCTTTTTTTTAACAGCTCCTGTCTCCCTCTCTCTGATTCCCAGGCCATTCCAAGACGTTTGAGGAGACTTTATCGGGCAGGAATCTAGAACCAATTGTAGATGCAAACACTTCCAGTACACCAGCAAACGATAAAGAGGAGCTGCCTTCGGCTGTTGCGGAACCTGCTTTCCTAAGAGGGAAATTAATTTCTCAGTAGAAATTACATCGTTGGTATGACCTCAAGTGTCAGGTATGTGTAAAACCTAAACTACTCTCTGCAGAAATGGCACCTGATGGTAAAGCATGTGCAGAAACCAGTGCTTGCCCTCTAGCGTGAGAATAACTAGCCAGTGGGGGTAGCAGAACATCATGGCTCACAGGAGGAGGGCAGAAGATATGGAGCAATACCAGTAAGGGTCACTCAAAACCTGTCTCTGCCTGACTGTAGCAATGCCCACCCTGCCTCTGCTGAGGAGGAACCTCAGCTCCACAGTGCCTGTCCCTCCACCCTGGCTGAAACGTTCCGCAAGCCAAAGCCTGCTGTCCAGGGAAGAAAAGGGTGTTCCAGAGAAAGGAACTTTGAATAATCATCAGAGAACCTTCCCCTCTGATCATTCCTCGCTGCCGCATTGACTGAGGAGAGAGATGTCTTTCGGGCCCTAACAATCTAATTGCGTCTGATAAAGAGCCTGTAAGCAGCACCTCTGCTCCGAAGGAGGGGGCCACAAACCTTTCATTGCCAGGGGCTGCGGTTTTGTTTTCTCTTCCGCCAGCTTACCTCTTCCGGCTGGAGAAGGCCTGGTGATTGCACTGGGGAGTGAAGCCTGCTGCAGACACAGACCCTTCTCACTCTCACCACTGGCTATGATGGATATCCGAGTGTACATTAGCAGATGCACTCTGGGATATTCAAGGACATGCAAAGCTGGTTTACTTGCATGAAAGCACATCCACAGCGTCGGTGGTGAGGGGCAGATCAGCATCCTTCTGTGACGCTGTGCAAAAAAAAAAGAAAGAAAGAGAGAGAGAGAGAGAGAGAGAGAGAGAGAACCCTGTTTATGAAACCAGACTACCTGGTAGAAAATGATCTCCGGGGAAAAAGCCTATTGCTGATTTTAGCTCTTTTTGTTTCTTTAAAATACAGCAGTGGTTTGGCTGTTTTGGCAAGCGCCAGCCTTTTTCCCCACTCACCTTCTGCCTGCCATGGGCTGCTTTTATTTATAGCAAGGGGGGCAGGGAAGGGAGGAGGACATATGGGCGTAACAGTCAGCCAGCCCTCACCGGGAAAAGGACAGCAGGGGCAGGAAGACAGGCAGAAAAAATACAAGAGATAAGAGGAGGGAAAACAGGCCTTGAACAAGTACATGGAGCGAGGACTGGGCTGGAAATGACGTCACTAAATTTGGCAACACGCTCTGGCCTGACTCTCCTCTCACCAATGCAGCTAGTCGCATAAGTGGTGTTACTCCTGCTTTACACCAGCGTGAGACCACCAACTTGGGCACTGTTGCTCTTTAAGGAGCCTTCTGTTGCACCCAGGCAATGCTGTAAGAGACACTTCCACCAAAATCCTGCATTCCTACTTGGTTTTCCACTCTGCATCTGCTGAGAGATTGTTTCTAAAGAGATCTTTCTTTTTCCTAAGGGGCTGCCCTCCTCCGGCCTAATCCATTCAGCAGCATTACAATCCATCTCAGTATGGCATTCTGGGGCACAGGCGCCGACTTCTGCTTGCGCCGGTGGGTGCTTGACCCGCCTCTGCCCCCGGCCCCATCCTGACGCCACCCCTGCCCCGCCCCCATTCCAACCTCTTCCCCAAAGTCCCCGCCCCAACTCCACCCCCTCCCTGCCCCTATTCCGACTCCTTCCCCAAATCCTCGCCCCGGCCCCGCCTCCTCCCTTGAGCACGCCACGTTCCCGCTCCTCCCCCCCTCCCTCCCGGAGCTTGCTACACGGCCACAGCAGTGAGCAGCAGCAAGCGCTGGGAGGTAGGGGAAGGAGCAGGGACGCGGCCCGCTCAGGGGAGGAGGCGGTGGTGAGGTGGGGCGGGGAGGGGAGCTTGGCTGCCGGCGGGTGCAGAGCACCCACTAATTTTTCCCCATGGATGCTCCAGCCCGGAGCACCCGCAGAGCCTGCTCCTATCTTCTGGGGTGCAATCCACACCAGTGAGGGGCTGTGTCACCACCTGGCCTGCAGCCTTGTGTTTCTCACCATGCTTTGCTGCTGTAGCTCTCACCTGGGCTGCTCACAAACGGCATGCGGGTAAAACCCTGCCTGTCCGTGTATCAGGGTTCCCTCTAATTTTCCCCACCCACGCGTGGAATGAATTTTGTGACGTGTGACACATCACCTCCAGATTGGTGCACATAACAAAATTCATGTGGTGGGGGTAGGGCCGAAGGGTTTGGAGTGTGGGAGGGGGCTAGGGCTGGGGCAGAGGGCTGGGGTGCAGGGGTGTGAGGGCTCTGGCTGGGGATGCAGGCTCTGGGGTGGGGCCAGGGATGAAGGGTTTGCGGTGCAGTAGGGTGCTCCGGGGCTATGGCGGGGAGAGAGGACTCCCCCCAGCTCTGTCTTCCCACAGCAGCACCTGGGCTTGAGGGGAGAGACACCTTTCCCTACAGCGGCAGCTCCAGGGCTGGGGCCACAGGATAGGTGCCCCTCCCCCAGCAGTTCCAGCCGGGGCTGGGGTCAGGCCGGGGGAGGGGCGCCGCAGCAGGTCCCGGCAGCGGCCAGGTTCGGGCAGCAGCCAGGTTCGGGCCGGGGTAGAGATGCCCTGGCCGGTCCAGGCCGCCCTGGCCGCGGCAGGTTGGGGGCCAGGCTAGGTTGGAGCCGGGGAGGGGCGCCCCTCCCCTGGCAGGTCCCCAGGAGGGTTCCCTGAGCACCTGCGCAGTACTAAAAAGGCTGCTGGACAGCCATGCAACCACGCAGCTTACAGGGAATTTAGCTGTGTATAGCTGCAGCTTACCAGCCGCTCTCTGGCTTCAATCAGCCAGGCTTCCCACTTGCAGGGTGACCCCAGCACACTTCCAGTCCCAGATTTTCCCCCAAAAATATGTGATCTGCCGTGTCCAACCCTCTCCTGGACAGTACAGATATATTTGGTCCTTTGCCCCTCTAAGGGGATCAACATACTGCTGCCTTAAGTGAAGTTACCCAAACATTTCAGAACAGTGGATTAGTTTCAATTAAGGATTAAAACAAGTTTATTTAACTACAAGGAGATAGATTTTAAGTGAGGGCATTGAAGTCAGAAATTGTTACAAAAGAAATAAAGAGAAAACGCTTCCTCAGCATAACAAACTGGCCTTGGTTCATGGGGAAGTCCCTTACCATGTTTCCAGTAACATCACTGACCAAAGTCTTAGGTTAAGATCTGCTCCCAAAGTCCAACAGCTGTTTCTTTTGTCTTGCTTGGCGAAAAGAAAGAGATAGATAGGGAGAGAGAACTTGGGGTGGTTTTGCCCCTCACTTGTATAGTCCAGTTCCCCTTCGAGATGCATTTTCCTGAAGGTTACAAAACAAAGTTTATTCAAACAATAAAGAAGGCAATATGGCATCAGGCAGTGAAAAGGGATGTATGCTGTTCCTTCTCACCTCTGTTTGCTGAAATACAGATTTTCCTTGTCCCCTGTCTTCTGCCTCTCGCTGTCTGAGGAATCTGTTTACAACTTATATATAAATTGAGGTAAACACACACTCCTTTGTTTAAGACCTGCTTGACCAGTCCTGCCTAATCAGGGCTACATGGGTTTGAACATGAGCTACCAACATCAGTTAGAGGGAATTCATAACTTTATATATAATGTTGCTATACACATTTCATCATGATAGGATTGACCAGTAAATTACTATTTTTCAGATGATGCCACACAAGGCATATTTTGTACAAAGATGATTGCAGTAGTGTGTACGGCATGAATACGGGGTGCCTTTGGTCACACTCTGTTCCACAGCACTGATGGAGGTCCCGCTACAGACGGAAGGGTGGTCCCTGTGCCCGGTCGATCGAAGCCTTTCCCCAAGGGGACTCAATAGTTAAGATTCCCTCTGAGCATTGAGAAATTGCTGATGGAAGGAGCGAGGGACGGAAGGTGAGGGTGACCAAGGGGCTTTTTCCCTGCTCCTGGGTTGTGGCAGTTTTGGGAAAGACCAAAAGAAAAGGAAGGGGAGGTGCCTGCAACAAGACTAAGGAGGTACTGGAAATCCTGAGCCATAAAAAGGTTTGTACTTGTTGTTGTCCTAATCAAAGGGACTGCAGAGCACTCATCTGCTTGTACGATGGGTTCCTTTCCCCTAACTAGGGTGACCAGGTGTCCCGTTTTTAAATGGACAGTCCTGGTTTTTAGGACTTTTTCTTATATCGGTGCCTATTACCCCCACCTCCTGTCCTGTTTTTTCACAGTTGCTATTTGGTCACCCTACCCCTAACCTTTGCTGCTCTTCAGCAGAGCGACTGTGTTTGCAGTAATAACCTGAGACACTGCTGTAATAATCATGGCAAATAACTAACACGGAATGGCTCCTGGAGACCAGACAAAATGGGTGGGACTGCTCCCAGCTCTGCGCTACCTGATTTGTGGAAGGAGGGGGTGGTCCCAATACAGCAGCCGTCTCTCGGCACTGCTGCTTCTGAGGCAGCAGGGCCGGATCAATAAAAACCCTTTATATCATTTATTATTCACTTAAACACATGCTTTGATAAAGGCATCCCAGGAGCAGAGTCATGAGTCTCCGGAGGGCGCCTTCTCACTTGGGTGAAAAATAGCTGGTGTTGAAGCTCAGGAATATAAATCTACACTATGCAAAATCTTTGACTCCCCTCCCCAGTCGATCGTAGTCTTGGTAGCTGTCCTGGGCGACATTTGTACCGGACAGCTGCGGGGATAAAGAAGGAACTGGGAAAGAGTTCTGGGAACTGGGAAAAGGAATTCTTTAACAGACTGGCCTTTAAATGTGCTCCACTTCCCCTTCCCCGGGTCCCAGTCCGTTCAGGGCTGCTGGTAGTTGGAGACCGGGATGGGAGCATGGAAGCACAGACATGCATTTTATGCAAACTCAGGGGATGCTGAAACCCTTTTCTGCCCCACACCACAATCCAGACCCCCCGACCCTTTCCAGTCTTTGATTTTTCTCCCAAGAGGGGCAGCCCAGACCACTCCAGCAGGCCCGCAGGCACTGGCTGCGCTGTTGTCTGCTACTCTGCGCCTCCCAGACGCCCATTCTGAATGTGGAGGCGGACCCTAGGGATCCCATGTTAATCTGTCCTGATCTGAAATACCTTTTCATTTCCTTCCCTCTCTCCTCTCCCAGAGGCCTTTGCGCTGACTGCTTCGCAGTTTCCATCACTTTATACATCTCACCAGGTAACAAACCTGTGTCTGCCCTGGAAGATCGCACTGGTTATTACATTGCACACTCCAGCGGGGCTAGAACGCAGATCCTGCTGCTCCAGGCAGCCCAAGCCCCTGCATCCCCGCTCTCAGTTAGATGTTAGTAGTACAAGGCAATGGCTCATTGCTGAGCAGTTCTGATTCTTCCAGGGGTGGTGCACAGACTCACTAGTCAAATAAATATCTACAGCTCTTCTCCCATGTCTGTACCTCTGGATTCCTCTCTTCCCCCTGCTTCTCTGTAACTGTATAATGTAACTCAGTAAAGCTCCTGGGGAGACAGTGTGTATGCTAGACGCACTATGAAATGAAACCTACTATGAAACCTATGAAATGAAAGTAACACCATGTCCAGGAGGCACTCTGGGAGTGGCTATCAAGCCCAGGGAAGATTTCATCTGGGGTTTGTTTCTAAGGTTAGGAAGGTCTTTGTAACTGGTGCAGAATATTATGTTGATTCAATGGCACTGGGTCTTATTCCAGTTCTTCAAAAGTAAGAACCAGCCATCTCTGGCAGGGAGATGCCCGTGAGTGGCTGCATAACAATTATTATGGCAGCCAGGGTAAGTGACCCCGTGGTGGTGTGTGCTAGAGAGCAGGGGTGGAGATGTCAGCTTGCTTTGCTGAGCTGCTAGGCATAGACTGGGCCAGAATGCTGGAAGCAGCCTGATCTGCCTGGTAAAAGGCCTGTATTTTTACCTGCCCCAAAGAACCATTTCATGGATAAGCTTTTATATGGCTCTCCTCAGTGTGCTGTCTAAGCACCTTACAAATGTGAAGTCTCATGACTGCCCTGTGAGGGAGGGAAACTGAAGCACCAAGAGGTTAAGGCCCCACAGGAAGCCCAAATAAGGCCAGGAATAGAACCCCAATCCCCTGAGTCCAGTACAATTACCTTAACCACAAGACAGTTCTTCCTCTTATGCCATTGCCGACTGCCGGGGCTGAAGACAAACATCACGTGACATTGGAAAGTTGGAGATCCCATTAGTCAAATGATGCTCTTGCCCATCCACTGTGACAGCAGATTAGTGTCTTGGCCTATGACCTAGCCAGTCCTTCCTTGAAGCAGAAAACTTCAGCACAATGGCGCATGACAGTGAGATTCCAAGGTCTTGAACAAGATCCAGCGGTGTCACCCGTCTGCTTTTGGGCCATCAATTCCTCCCTGGTATTCAAGAGTTTTCTGATGAGCCTGGGCATTTTCAGTAGCTTTCCAGAACGGCTTCATTGAATTTATCAGCATTGCCATGTGCAAGTATTAGATACAGAGTACAGCAGCAGAGAGTGACGACAAGGGGGAACGAAATCGGGATGTGTGTCTGGGAAACACTTTTCATGCTATGCCAGGGTGGAAGAGGATTTGCATTTCAGTCAGCAAATGCTGATTTTCTCCTCTCTAAATGAAGGTTTGGAAAGGAAAAAGAGACTTTGCTCAAGGACACGTGGAAGGGGTTTGTATGAGGACATAGGCCCCGAGGTCAGTGGGGCTTGAGGGGGGCACTCCACCATGCGGGAGGAACTCAGCATCTCATAGGATCTGATGCAAAAATTTGAGTGTTGGTGCCTGCAGAGGCCTCCTGACCATGGGAGTATGGATCTATGCATATACATCCTCTGCTGTAACCCAAGGTGCTCATAGTTACACGCTGTCTCCAACTGCTGCCTGTGGCCAGTGTTTCATCCTGCTACTGGCAGCCTGCTTTGTGTTGGTTTGGCTGCCTGACAGTGGGGTTTGTTTAGATTGAGCAGCTGGCAGAGCTGGAGCGATTGCTAACTAATGGCTGTAAAAACTGCTGCGGCTTTTTGCTCAAGAATAGTTTTTCTGTTTTGCTAAGTGCTGTTGTCTTTGCACTGAGTTTCTATGTGCAGGTGCCGGTGTTTTGGTAGCGGAAGATGGTGCATAATGGGTTTAATTTCTACAGAAGCCAAGCTTGGTCTTTGATAGAGCTTCCTGGGGACGGATGTCGGCTGGAACACGCCAGCATGCTGGGATGGAGGGGTGGGTGGGCAGCAGGCACGTTTTCCCTTTAAGGCCAAGGCCTTTTGTAGCTAGAGGGTGACCTTGTTTCTGCCCGTGAAAGCAGAGCAGGTTCTCCCAAGGGGGGCCCTGAAGCTCTCACTGGAGCCAGGCATGTTCCCTTCCAAAGCTCTATGGGATTCTCATGTGCAGACAGGCTGCTGAGTAGCAATGCATTGCCACAAAATTCAGAGCCTTAAAGATGGGAGCACTGTCTTGGGGATGGCTCCAAACTCAACGGGAGCGTTGCATCCTGAATGTCCTAGGCTGAGCCTGTCTCTCTAATGGCCTGGCTCAAATCCAAATGCTCCCAAGCTCTGGGTGGATTAGAGTAAAATTGGGAACCAGATCCAAACTCAGTAAGTTTGGCCCATCTCTACATTATATAATCTTTTCCCTTTTCTCTTCCAAGTGGCTAAGCTTTTCTTTTCCAAGTGGCTAAGCCAGCCGCCCACCATCCAGGACATTCAGTCAGTTTAGTGATAGTTTCACCAAAACAATTCTTATAATTGTCCCATCAGAGCTGAGCTCCCCAGATCTTTACCTTATCTGCCTCTGCCACTTGCCAGGTGGCTGTGTCTATAGGAATATGTAGTGAACAGATTATTCAATTAGGAATTTAACACATGATCAGGTGATCACTTAAGAGGATTTCCAGTAAAACAGGATTTGAATAAACTGTTGTGCGAGTAATGTATTCTCTTAACTGGTTTATTCCCTTATCATTTTTTTTTTAAGCACCTTAGCACATTCAGTTTGTCATTGTTGATCCTTTTCTCAATGCTCTCCCTTCCTCCCCGATTTATGCAAATCCTCAGTAAGGCATTTAATGCGCTGCACGTGTCAATAGCATTGACATCTCCAATAAAGCCTTATACTTCATGCACGCCCTGGCTGATTAAGACTGGGGGACAGGGCCAGATCTTGGAAAGGGAAGGCTTCCATTCAGCACTAGCCACTTCCTTTGAGTTGGCTTCGCCGGTGGAGCGCCTGATTAAATCTCCCCCTGTCTTGTTGCTGTATTTCTTTTGATGAAAAGGGTCTGCTGAAAATGCTTCTTCTCTGTGCACTGTAATCTTACTGATCTATGAAGGAATTTGAATAGGGAACTGAGGCCAGTCCTGTCTAGGTCTATTTCCTGGTGTGTCACTCAGCTATTGGAAGAGCTCAAGGGGGCAGTTAGATGCATTAATGCTCGTCGGCATTAAAATGTATGGGAGGATTTCTCGTCCAAGAGAGAGCATGAGTGAAAGGGGGAGACAGACAGACTATGTGCAGTGGCAGCAAGGAGAACAAAAAAATCCGGCAATAGCTTGTTTGCGTTCTGCCAAGAGCCCAATGGAGAAATCAGAGGGTAAAATCCTGTCCTCCAGGTGCACTCCTTGGTGACAGAGCTGACTGACACGTTAGTTGTGGGGACTCAGTGCCCCGCCCTGAAAGATGCCTGAATATGTTAATAAGGAAAACTGGAATCGCAGGATAGGCTGGGAACTGCTTTGAAAATTTTCAGAGAGGCAGAAAAGCAGATTTTCCCATTAATTGTGCTAACAGAGCTGGGGATTTTTAAGAAATCAGCCTGGCGACTGCAATGGTAATTTGCATAATGTTACCCAGCATCCTCTGCAGTTCCTTTTGTTTTCTGATGATTGCAGTGATTTTCCAACATTTTTTTAACATGCACTATTACTTCAGGTCAGTCTTCCTTCCTACCCTGATCCCGCACCTTCCCTGTGGCCATTATAGCCAGGGCTCAATGCATTCTGGATTCTGCAGCTCAGAATTCCCCCTGGAGGCCACTCCTTGCTCTAACGTCTCAGCTCTCATTTTGAAACAAATGGTTTCCAGCCCTCCTGGTTGCAAAGATAAACACAAGCAGAGTGTAACCAAGGCAGCGATGTCTGTCTAAGTCTGCAGACAGCCTGAAACAGTGGCTCTGAGAGGTGTGAACCACCCCATTGATAGCAATTGATTGTTAATTCTGGAACCTAATGATGCCACTCTGGGGAATATTGAAAACTAAAACTGTAGGGACAGCATCAAATGAATTGAATGCAGCAGTAACATAAACAGCACGGGGACTGCTGCGCTGACTGTATTATTCATTTTTTGTATTTAACTCAATAAAATCCTCAATTTAAAAAATGACCAGAAGCTGCTGGAGAGCCCAAGGTCCTCGCTGGAGAAGTTTGGCTCCTCTCACCCCAGAGTATGTGGGGACCTTGATTATAACGCTCAGTAACATCACATGTTTACATTGGTAAATTACTGTGGTCAATCCCACTGGTTTCAACCCCCATTTTTTAAAAGCTGGGGAGGGATAGCTCAGTGGTTTGGGCATTTGCTTGCTAAACCCAGGGTTGTGAGTTCAACGCTTGAGGGGGCCATTTAGGGATCTGGGGCAAAAATTGGGGATTGGTCCTGCTTTGAGCAGAGGGTTGGACTAGATGACTTCCTGAGGTCCCTTCCAACCCTGATATTCTATGATTCTATGACAGTATCAAAGGGGCAAGATGAAAGTAATTTCACTCTACTGCAGTGCTGGGTGCTGCTTCTTGCTTACATCCCCACTTTCTGTTTCTGCGCCATTCAGTTCCTCTCTCTAGGTTTCAGGACTTAACCTGTCTTAGAACCTGAGCTCCTGTTCTAGGCTCCAGGCCTCACTGCTCCAACTTCTCTAGGTTCTGGTGTAGTTTGGCTCTGTCCTCCTATGCATTTGCTACTCGTCCGCTTCTGCTGTCACCCAAGAATTGGCTCATGGCTGAAGTTACCAAAGAAGTGCCCAAGATGGAAAGCTGTGAAGCAGCTACACAGGGCACAGAGAAGGGCTCTGTGGTTTTGAGTGTGCTAACAGAGACCAGTGGCCAGTTTCAGAAACAATGAGTCCATTGTTCAAATCACTAGTGTCTCCTCCTGACGAGCCCTGTCCCATTCCTTGGCAGCCCTGTGTGAAAGCCGGGGGTTGAGGAGAAAGGAGGGTGGCATCACTCACAATCAGTGCTGATAAAGCTGCTGTTCACGACAAATCGGTGCTGTGTGGAGGCTCGGTTGTACCAGGCTGGACCTAAACCAGGGGTAATTCCTTGGGGGCAGCTGCTTTCCTTAGGAAGAGTGATGCCCACAGCCTTTGTAACCCCCACTCAGCGTCTTCCCCGAACCCCCTTGCCCTGACTCACCTCCTGATGGGTGCAGAATTCATGGCAACCATTCAAGACTGCCAGAGAGATGTGACCCCAGAATATGTGTCAGTAGGGCTTATGTGGACCCCCTCAATGGGATCATTGGAGACTATCCTCTCCCTCGCCCCCCTGGGCATGCACGGTGCGCTCTGCACTGTACACTGATGTGAGCATGAGGGAGGTATTGTCTCTTTCATAAGTGACCTCTGCTTTCCGTATCCTTTATAAGCAGCACTTCTTTAATCCCATCTGAGGGAGAGGACCTAGCAATGCTGGGAGCCTGATGGAGAGCGGGCTGGGGACAAACAAATTGCCTGGAAAGTCTGGTGCAAGGCAAAGTGCCATCTGGACAAGCCAAGGTGTCAGGTTTTTTGCCCTCTAGAAGAGGTGCAAGGGGAGGGCTGAGTGATGTGAGGCACAGAGGGGCCGAGTGGGAGCGACACACAGATGACTTGAGCTGCCTCAGGTGTCACAGCGACTGCAGGAGTCTTTGTACAGAGCCCTGCTTGCACTTCGGACAAGGCTCCATTCCCAGGCCCTTCTCTATTGGTTTGATGGGGGACCACAAGCTGGTCCCATTGTCACAGTGACGGTTCTGGGCAATGGCAGACCGTATTGATGGAGGACTAGACTGGTACTGGTGTGTATGATGAGTTCTGCAGTCACAACCAGGGGGGCTGGAGCAATTTGTGCAGGGGGGTGCCGAAAGCCATTGAACTGTAAACAGTGTATATAATGGAAACCTTTCCAAGCCAGGGGGTGCGCCAGGCAGCCCCGCTAGTTCCAGCACTGATGGTCACACCAGCCACAACAGTGGCTGTTCACATTTTTCTTGCGTGTGATCTACCCCTGTTACCCAGGCTCCACTCTGACTCACCCTCTCTGACCAGTGGGGAAAGTGAGGCCAGCAGTACATGCGTCAGACCAAGCAGAGTCAGGCCTGCGACAAACAAGAAACCCAGGCAGGATGGTCCAACACAGAACAAGCAGCAGCCAGAGAAGTCTCTGCCATCAGACAATTTTCACCCACTACTGATCAGGGCCCGATTTAAACCGGCAGCCAACAGGTCCAAGTGTTACAGCTCAGCACCCATCCCCTGAGCCAGTCAGTCTCCTTGAGTCCTGTTCAATAAGTACAACATAGTCCGTGTGGGGGTCTTCCTGAGCACAGAGGTCTACCTGGACAAATTGCAGGTTCAGGGCTGTTTCATATTGTAGCAATCACACCAATTGCATCCCCGAAGTGCTTTGCAGAGTTAAATAATACACAATAGTTAGCAGCAGCAAGAGAGGGCCAGGGAGAGAGAGAACTTAGGAGCCATAGGCAAGGGAGAAAATATATGTTTTCAAATGAGGTTGGCAGTGAGCTGGCTCGTCAGTGAGGTGGCGAGATACAGCCAGGGCTGCTTCCAACTTTTAAAATCCTGCATGTTAAGCTGGCTGACTTTTACTGCCGAGCCAATGAGCCACCTCTGGAAACGGGGCTAGGATGGTTTTTGCTGCACTGCATGTGTATGTATAAACTATGATTTCCTAAGAGCATAAGAATGGCCATAGTGCATCAGAGCAATGGTCCATCTAGCCCAGTATCCTGTCTTTCGACAGTAGCCGGTGCCAGATGCTACAAAGGGAATGCGCCTGCCCTGGAGACACCTGTATAAATGTTTTTTGGGCTCCCTGCAGAACAAAGACCTACAAAATGTTAATAAAATCATATATTGGACCTATGTCTGTTGGTGGAAGGTACAAGCTATTGAGCTTCACAGAATTCTTCTTCCGGTCTGGGGAAGGAAACCAGAGTGTGAGCAAAATACAAGTTGGGACAGGTTGTTACACAGAAGGCGGTTAACACAAGTGGTATCATGTAGCATACATTGGCTGCACCACTAGCGTGTCAGGCAAATCAGCAAACCGCGTTGCGCCTTGGTGTCCCCATCCGTCATATGCCTCCCAGGGTTCCTGGGAAGCTAAGTTCATAAGTGCTGGTCAAGTGCCTTGAGAGCCGTGACTGAAAAGCACTATCACAGGGCAGAGTGTTGTTACACATCACCGAGCTCTTCGCTGTTTTGTTTCATTCTCGACCCCCAACTCTTTAAATAGCCTAGATCCGCAGGAGCGAACCCAAGCACTGAGCCCATCAAGACACCGTCGCTGATTAGCAGGTTTCTTCCACTGCTCCTGCTGCTGATTGTCTTTTTTTTTTTTTTTATTATGCAAAGTCGTAATCAAGGTCCTGAATTAGCTACTCATCTTGGATTAATTAGTGAGGGATGCCAATCAGTTTCAGCAACACGGAAAGGGCTCTGGATGGCTTCTGTTCATTTATCAGCATATCCCTAGGATTGTGTGTTTGTGTGCACGCGTGTGGCTCTGTGAGTGACTGTGCTGATGGGTGTGACGCTCAGAGGAGTTCAATGAGCTGTATCAGCCAGGTTAGAAAAGTTATTTCTTAGCATGGTCCAGTGTGTGAAACACAGATTTAAGAGCTATCACACATGGGTCCTAGGCCTGGCTCTGCTACTATCTTGGTGAAATCACTTAACCTCTCTGCACCTTTGTTTCTCCACCTGTAGAATGGGGATAATCCCATTTATCTATGAGGCTCATCCCTGGCTGGATCTTGCTGAGGTGTGTTGAGATTCACACGTGGGCAGCTCTAGAGAAGAGAATGGCAGATATGTTGTTTTCTACATTGGTTTTGATGCTCTAGTTTTATTGCCATTTCTACAGGCTCTTTGTGGCTATTTTAGTTGGTCTCAGACATCTCTGGCTAGTTGTCCAGGGTATTTCAGGCAATGAGAAGTAAGATTGGGTGGGGTGAAGCAACGGGATTTGACACCTGCAGAGGCGTCCAGGGTTGTGGATGAATATAGGTACATGTGCGCAAACCCTTGGGAGTAAGTGGAGTAACTCAGAATAGACTCCAGCCTTAAGTCCTTAGGACCAATGGTATGGCTTGTGCATTTGCTCCAAGAGAGACCAGATGTCTCGATCCTGAGCCCACAGCTTACAACTGTGTCTGCGAACATGGAGTCTACAAATGTGTGCTCATAACAGGACATATCCTCTCACAGTGCCCAGCTGGAGCACCTGGCCTGGACTCTGGGGATCTCCTTAGGACAAGGAGTCCTTCCAAGCTGAGGCGTGGTAGCAGGCCTGGCCAATGCATGCTACTCTGGCTTCAGGGCTGGAAAAGGGTGCCTGGTGGAGAGGTCCCGAGTCCACAGGACATGGTAACTCATGGACACGCACAGCGGTGGATTTAGCACCCCCATTTCTAAAGAGCTGTTTCATGCAGCAGCCTGAGGAGCTGTCACAGGGATGAAGAGGAGGACTTGCCTCATAGGAATAATGCAGCTTTGGGGCAGCTATAGGTGCCAGCACAGAGAACACACCAACTCCAGGGCTGCAGTCTCTCTTCGCTTCTTTCCAGGCGCCTCTTGTCCTCGCTGCAGTGTGGGAGCCCAGTCCCACGCTGTCCCAACGCCACCAGCTGGGCCTGTGCCATTCCACTGGGTAACATTCACTAGCTGCTGGTGCTCCATCTCCTCCAGTGATTCTGGTTGAGATTTCACACCCATTGTTACATATTTCAGGAGTCTCGCTCCACGGTTTCTCAGTCCAAGTGCCGCAGGTAACCATGGGGACCAAATGTGGTACAATGAGATTTGCATACAATTCTGTACACGCACACCTAGGCACTATGGACTACATGCAATGCAAGGTCTACAAGAAAGTGGAGAGACCCCCTCCACCACACATCTACCTGTGTCCCTTCAACAGTGCCCCATCTCCTGGGAGAAGTAAAAACTGCCCTGCTTCCCATGTCACAGAGGGAGGTGAAGAAGTGTTTGCAGGCTAGCAAGAAGAATCCCTTTCCCCTTCACTTTGCCCTGAGTCTCTCTGCCAGAGATTTGACTCTAAGTGATACCTTGTGACCACTGCTATTTACAGTCATAGCGCCTCCTGGCATTCAGACTCTGTGTTGCACTGTGCTGTACCTCTAAGGCGCCCTTTGGATGCTTCCAAGGTGCTGCACTGCCTTATCCTTTGCCTTTGTGTTCTGGGACTAGGACCAAGACACTTCTCCAATATGGTCCCTTCTGGGGTATCAACCGTCCAGTGGAATCAGCTTCAGTGAATGGTAAACAAGAAGGCCCCCTCTGGCCAGAAGGCAGTCAATCCATCAGCCCACAGGTGTGGAACATGTTTCTAACTGAGGCTCTTTCTCTTCTCTAGTTGGTGATGGGAGAAACCCCATCACATATCTATTATACCATCAGCTGTTAAAAGCATCTGCTCTAGTCTTCCCATGTTATTACGAAGACCACTGGCAATGCCACACCTTGAAGGACCTCAGCAGCCCCTCGCTAACACTCCTCCCCCCCCCCTTCTGACTGCCTCTGAATGTTTACAAAGGGTTTCTTGGCCTCCTTCCCAAGACCATGCTTGGGGGCTCTGCAGCTTCCAGAAGTCCTTTCTACGTGCTGCAGTGTGTGTCGGCCATCTCTCAGTCCCCAGAGTTTCACCATGCAGCTGGATATTTCCATGAATCGATGTGAGGAACATCCGGATTTGTCAAATCAAGGATGGGTTTCATTTTCCTGATGGGGAGCCTCAACGGTCTCAGAGACTTTTGAGTTTCTTTTTAAGAGGCTAAGTAGTCGCTGATGACTTCAGTTACCACAGTAAGTATTTATTCCCTTAGCACTGCAGGGACAAGACAGCTCTGGGAGCATGTGCTGGATTCTAGTCCGGCTTAGCTATCTAACTTTCTTAGAGTTTTATACTGCCACCCATCCGTGTAGTATCTTGCATTGTATCTGAGGCACTGGGCACCTTGCTTGTGAAATCAGTCACAATAGCCAGCTCCTCAGCCGCAGTGGCAGGGCTGTTTTTTCTTGCTGGTGATTATTATTTATTACTTGTATTGTGGTAGCACCTGGGGTCCAGGGTGCCCTTGTGCTAGTCCTGTACAAACACTTAGCACAGGGTACTCCTGCCCCAAGGAGCTTGCAGTCTAAGTATGAGACTAGAGTCAGCAGGGTCCACGAAGAGCCCTGCTTGACTCTCAGATCCCAGAGAGGATTTGCAGGGCTGGCGGTTAAAAACACTGGCTGCCTTCGTGCTTTCAGGTGGGCTCCTGCGGGTCGCGCTGGGAGCTGCGGTGTGCTAAGCTCTTTGGAAATTCTAGGCCCACCCATGGAACTCCGTGGTGCCATTCTTGCAGTCATGTGGCAGTAGTACTTGTCTGCAGCGAGCATCTGCCTAGATGAGAAAGCAGTGGGAACAGGACAGCTCACTACTAAGTTCCTATGTGTACAGGTCCTACCCACTCTTGGAATTTGTGCCCTAGGCCAATGCACTATCACGCCAGTGGATGATCTGGATCTCCACTGGTACACCACCACTTGATGAAGTTGGCCCTGCTGCATTTGCCTTTCAAGGCTCCAGAAAGAGCAGGGATTCAATGCAACAGCTCTTCAAAGGATGATCGATGATCGGGCTGGGAGTATTTAGCATAAAAAATGCACCTCTGAAATGTATTGTTCTGTGATCTGAGGAAACAAAATAGCAACCCGGAAGCATATTCTCTCCTTCTTAGTCTGACAGCTCTGCCAAGGGAAAAGCAGGGGAGAAGAAAGGGTGTTCAGCTGTCCAACGCAGCGGTTACTGGCTTGTGTGGCCCTCTGCACTCCGGGGGGAGCATGGGGGATGCTCTGTTTCAGTCTGCTGGCCTTGAGCACATGCTGTCTCCAGAGCAACATGAATCTCTTGGAATAAAGGTGCTACAGAAGCGCAAAAGGTATTACTGTGAAGCATGAGCTATTATCTGGGAATGCACAGAGTTTGCCAATGTCACCAAGAATGACTGGTGAGCCATAAGACTGAATAGCCCAGGCTGGCTGGGAATAAGCATCAGGGAGAGGCATTTAATCACTAGGTATTTAAGACCACAGTGACTCCTGTTTTGACTTTACTCCATATTATAGGGTGGCAGGTGGCAGGACCCTGCACAGAGATGCAGGACTATTCTGCTGATTCACCTTGGCATACAGACCCAGCATGTCCTATTTGTTCTAACTCAGGAGCATAGAATGGTACGGAGTTAAAACAGAGGGAAGTAGGAGCTGAAATAACTACTGAGAAACCCTAGGAACAGTCAAGCCTGGGAGACAGCTTAGGTTGAGGTTTTGTTTCATGTGGATGTTGGTTAAGGCAGGAAAGGATAAATCAGGTTTCACTGCGCATGTGAGTACCGTGTTGGGAGCAGGGCAACTTACACTACATCAGCGGCATCACATAAACTGACAAACTTTCTCATAATCTCTAATGGCGGGATGAGGGGCCTCTTTCTTGTCTTTCACCTGTTCATTGACGTGGGAGAAAGATGCCCCTTCCCCACTCCAAAAGCTTGTACTGGGGCCTGGCAGTGCTTCTCATTGCTAGTTAGCAAACAGCTGAAGCCGTCCCAGCACATGTACAGTTATTAGAGATGACTACTCTGCAGGGTGCAGCCTGCCCAAAGTCCTGTGCTAAGGAGCACTCCTAGTTCGCATTTATCCTCTCCCCCTCTTCAGGGGGTTGATCTGTAGGAACAGGGACCAGCCCAGCCCATTCTTTGCTGCTCTGCTCTGAGTCAATTAGTGGATCATGAAATGTGGGTGATATTGGTGGATCTGCTGCAGGGGAGGGGGAGACAGTCCAGAATCTGCTTTTCTACTAATTGGGAGCACTGGCCTTCATTCCAGGTGAGTTACAAGTATGTCAGAAAGATAAACGGGACTTTCCATTTGCTCTGTCTTATTAATTTGCCATCTGTGGTCATGGGCAGGGATCCTCCATCCAGACTAGAACATGGATTTCTCCTTGAGCCCCGCGCACTGCGCCTGTCACCAATGTTCTGCTGCTGGGCATTCGAAGGGCCCAGAACACTCCAGACTCGGAGGATATCACTGGTCATAGGCAGGACCTAAAATAATTTAGGCAGTAACTTGGGGGAGGGGATAGGAGTGTCTTTTTTATTCTGTGTTTGCACAGCACAAGAGGGTCCTACTCCATGACCGGAGCTCCTAGGTGCTACAAACATAATAATACTGATTGATACATAATGGGAATAAATCCTTTGGCACAGCTGGAGAACTCAGCCAAACAGCAGAGCTTGCATAGACGAGTCACACTCATGTCCACATGTCACTGAAGATGGACCAGAACCATAAATTGTGGATGAGGATCTGAGGTGTCCATTCTGGGGTTTTACTTTGGCTCATTATAGAGATAAGAGTCATCCAGTCCCGACCCAACCAGCCCCAACATTCAGGGATGTTCAGATCTGGGGTTTGGTTTCATCCCGATCTCTTCTTGGGTCCAAAGCCAACTCGAGCCCAGGGTAAACACACACAGTTAATGCCGCAAGCCCTTTACGGCTTCTGGTTTGAACTGGGTTTTTGTTCCCTGCTGAACTGGATTCTCACAAACATCCATGCAGAGGAGGTGAATTGCATTTAACAAACTCTCTGGATCTTTTGTGTTCCTTGCAGGCATCAGTAATCCATGAATAACTGTGCATGGCTGTGTTCAAGCTACTGCATTCTTGTTGAATCTCAGACTTTCTTCTGCTAAGCTGGCTTTGTTGAAAAGCCACTGGTATTTTCTCATGGGGTGTACAGCTTACTCTCCTGAGCTGCCCTGGAGGAGCGCACTCCTGGGAAAGCATCTGAAGACGTAGGAGGCTATTTAGAGGCATAGTTTCCAAGAGAGGTTTGCATGCCGAGTTCCACTCCCAGTAGAGAATTGATGCAGAACATATGTACTCACAACACTATATATAACCAGTGAGCGTGTTTGTGTGTGTATATACACACACACACACACACACACACATACATGCTGCTTATTCACATGCTCAGCCATTCTGTCCAATTCCTTGCAGTCTCCTCTCAGAAATGACAGCTCCCATGCCCTACTCAATGACTCTTGAGACCATCACCTGGAGGGCGATGGGTGAAATTATTTTGAGAAGACCTTATGAGCCTGCTTTTTGGAAGGATGGGCTGTGCAAATAGGCATCCGCTTGGGCACTTAATTTGTACGCACTGATTATGGTGACAGCACGTGGAATTGTGAAATGTGCACGTGCAAATGGGCAGTTGCGCACAGCTATAATTAACTGCACATGCAGCTCTGTCATGCAAAAGCATGCCTCTCCTTCTGAACATCAGACACTGGGGTGACGGGCGTTTCATGTGCCCAAAAAGGGTTGGTGCAACTAACGTGGGCTCAGCACAGTGCCCAGAAAATGAAGGGTGATGTGTGGAATTCGGGTACAAGGATCACCTTGAGTAATCCCCTCTTTTCATCATTTTATCCAAACAATCCCTACAGAAAGATTTGTAAAAGTGTGAGCTTCCCAAATTAGACATTTGCATAAAAGCAAAATACCTTCATGGTGAGTTCTACCAGGCATGTGAATACCAAGGCAGGTCATTAAAGTTATAATTGGCTCTAATTAGCACTTCCACCAGCTGTAACATTCTTTACCTTCAGCCAAGTGGCACTCAAAAGGTGAGAATTTTTTTTCCTGCCTCTGAAATCATTAAGGAAATCAGCTCTGCTCTGATCCTTACAAATGACTGATCAGTCTAAATGAGAACAAAACACATCAGCACAAGTGGAGGGTGGCTGTTGGAAAGTAAAATTTGACACATACAGCTGAAAAGCCTCCCTTTATTGATCAGTAAAAGCAAATTCTGCTAGAAAGAGGTGAAAAAAGTAATATATGAAACACAATGGATCAGATTCTTCTCTCAGGTCCAATCCCAATCCAATAATCTTTACAGCCAAATAAATCAAAGGGCCAGAATGATCCTCTTCCTAGCGCCCAGAGATTAACCAGGATTCAGCCAGACCCAAGGAACGTGGAGTTGATCAGAACAGAAAGAGCCCTAGTCAAGAACCCAACAGAACAAACCCAAGTCAAGAAGACCTTGTAGAAATTCAGGGCCATATTCACAGAGCTAAGCAAATTCACCCCTAATGTGTTACGATTAAGTGTTCCACTCAGAATGCTGCTGGAGGACCCGATAGGATCGGTCTGGGGTGACAGGCTCAAGAAGAGCTTTCAGGAATTTAAAATATAATTGTCATGGGAGCGCCAGTACTGAAATATTTTGAGAGTAACAAAGAGCCTAAAATCTGAGTTGATGCATGCTGGAAAGAGCAGAGAGCAGACGTTTTTCTCTTATCTCGCCCACCGTTGAATGTCAGGGAACTACGGGATGGTGACTGAAATGTAAATACA